TCATTTAACTGGAATATGACCTTCTCTAGCAAGTCATCCAATGATATAAGGTATTTTTCCCTTTTATTTCAATTTTTGAATGCACAATTTTTAAAAGTATTTTTTATTTTTGATAATCAGAAATTTTTGCAAGTTTTTTATATTCCATCATGTTTATTTTTTAATATGATAGTTTTTATGAATTTTTTACAATAACATGCATGTAACAAATACTGGCTCACCAGCCTCGAAGAAATTACCAAAAAACGGGAGTTTCTTGTCTGACATTCCAAAACACGGGAAAGTGATTTAGGTTACCAAAAAGTGGGAGTCAGAATTGGAGAATCCGACTAGCATATTAGGGTTTCATTTTCACGCTTTTCTCCCGTCGGAATCACCATATCCGACTAAACAGTGCCCAATAATTTAAAACCCCTAGTCGGAATTGGGGAATCCGACTAGAGTTTTGTGATTTTTTTTAAAACCCCTAGTCGGAATTGGGGAATCCGACTAGAGTATTGTGTAGTTTTTTTTTTGAATAAATTTGTGTAGTTTTTTTAAAAGTCAGGTGAGGTGTTTAATTGGGGTTCGAGTATTTCACCGAACTCCTACACTGAAACCCCTATAAAATCCCTTCATTTCTTCTCAAAATTTACAAACACATTCCAAAAACACTTATTTCTTTGTTATAGTAATTTATTCATTATTCACCCAAAAACACTTCTTACTTTAATTTCTTTGATATATTCATTATTTTTTTTGTTTAGCACTCTCCTCTCATATTATATTTATAATATATACCATATATAAAAATGTCTAGTGAGGGTAATATTGTTGTTATGGTTCATTGGAATGGCTCTACATCTCAAAAAGATGATGAAATAGAGTACTCCATACCTCCTAGGGCTGTACTATTCATCAGTGAAGAAGATGATTATACTACTATACATGAGAATGTTCTAAATCATGTTAGAGGCGACGGATTTTCCGAAATTAAATTAATTCACGGAAAATTTCCGAAATATAAGAATTCGGTATATGTTGCTTCTAGATTATGGCCCATTCATGATGAGCGGACATGGCGTCATTTTTTCCGGATCGCTACAAATGAGTATGAGGAGTTGCACATTTACGTGGAAGCTTCAGTGACCCCGCCACAAAATTTGACGTTCCACGGAACTCCCGGAGTGGAAGGCCCATCATCAAGTCGGAGAAACAACCGCCAAACGTTTCAGAACTACGAAACACCCGGTATGTATAGTTCAAGTTAAGTAGAATTTACAATGATTTCATTTTATTTGTTGTCATTTTAAGAGTGTAGAAGTAGTGAATTTAGTAATTTGTAAATTTTTAATTTAGATTGTGAAATTGGACTTTTAGAGTAAAATTTAGCTTAAAAAAGGCTACATAAGGCTATATATATCTTTAAATATTATTTACGATATTGATTTAGACTGAGATAGTATCACTAAATTAAAAAGGCTATATATATCTTTAACTTATAATTTGACTTAATTAGTTTTTTAGGAGTGTAGAAGTAGTAGATTTAGTAATTTGTAAATTTTTTAATTTATTTGTTAAATTTGAACTTTAGAGTTAAATTTAGCTATAAAATAATTGAAAGTTAGAAAGAGTGTTAAATTTAGAATTTGCCTTAAAGTTTGGTTTTAGGAGTGTAGACGTAGTTCATTTAGCAATTTGTAAATGTTTTAATTTAGATTGTTAAATTGGAATTTTAGAGTTAAATTTGGTTATAAATTACTTGAAAGTTAGAAAGTGTTTTACATTGATTTGTGAAATTGGAATTTTAATTTAGTGTATAATATTATTCTTAATATATCTTTGTAATTCAGATACAAATATTATGGAATTTTAACAGATAATCAAATAAATTTTATATCAAAATTCATGTGATTATATTTCCTTTGTTTTTTTCGCATCTACCGCATCTAGCATTTCGCATCTACCGCATCTATCCAAACCATATGTACAAATTCATTAATGTCTTTAATGTAAATAATAATATGGAGTATTATGCTGTGCAAACCGTACCGCATTACATGGGACCAAGACATATTTAGATTTTAATGTAAATAAAAAATGAAATGTAATGCTGTCGGAATTCACAAATCCGACAAGAATTTTTTTATAAAATTTTTAGTCGGAATTTTTTAAGGGAAAAAAAAAATAAAAAACCCCTGTCGGATAGCCCAATTTCGACTAGGGGGGTGTTTTTTAGAAATATTTTGTTTTGTTTTGAAAAACTATATATATTAAATTTTACAAATTACATTTTATATAAATTACATTTTTATAGAAAACTTTTATTTTGTTTAGAAGTATTTATTTTAGTATTTTTAACTCATTCAATTAGATAAACTCACATTTTATAATATAACGCGTTTAAACAAAATCTAACCCATTAAGTCATATGAAATCATCCAGTCTCAGGGGAAGAGTCGGACGACCCAGACTACGAACAAGGTTTTTGTAGTGATGTCGATTCAGCCACGAAGGATAACAATGACGAGACAATAGACCCCACCTGGGCCAATCTAGAGCTAGAAGAACCATATGAGCTAGATTATGAGCCCGAAAGACTCGAAGTCGGCGCAATTTTCCCTTCATATGATGCACTGAAAGAAGCGGTGGCGAGAGAAAACATTCGTCAATTTCGTCAATTCCAATCGGTTGACAAAAGGGTACGGTCCTGGAAGGCGGTTTGCATATACCCGACCCTTTGCACTTGGCATATCCAAGCAGCAGAAGGTATGACTTCAACAAAGTGGAAAGTAAAAAAAATATCAACCCCATCACAGTTGCAGGGAGGATCCTGTCACGGCTCGGGATGATAAGATCCTAACGGCCAAGATCATAGCGAGTGAAATCGCTCCAAAAGTGAAAGTCGACCCGGACTACAGCATTAAACTGATAATGTCAGACATATATGAAAATTTTGATATCCGTGTTTCATATAAAAAAGCTTGGAATGGACGCTTGATCGCTCTGGAGCGTAAATTCGGCAATTGGGAGGCCTCATATAATGAACTTCCTATGTTGTTGGAAGCTATACAGTTTTCAAATCCGGGGACGGTTGTTCATTTGCAATCACAACAGGCCGGCAGTCCTGATACGTCTGAATTCCGTCGAGTGTTCTGGTCATTCAAAGCTTCTATAGACGGTTTCAGATTTTGCTTACCCGTAGTCTCGGTTGATGGGACTCACTTATATGGAAAATACAAGGGGGTTCTTCTAGTAGCGGTAGCCATGAACGCTAACCGTGAGATATTTCCTCTTGCATATGCTGTTGTTGAGAGTGAGAATGCTGACAGTTGGTCGTGGTTCTTTGCAAGGGTTATGCGTGATGTGGTTGGAAGTCATCGTAGTGTGTGCGTTATCTCCGATCGTCATGCAGGAATTGAAAGTGCATTTAGATCCTTGCCAGAGTTGAGATCGCCACAAGTTTCAAAGCGTTATTGTCTCCGTCACATACGGAGTAATTTCATGACCAAGTTTAGAAACGCGGAACTGAAGAAATTATGTTGGCAAGCTGGTAGCACTCCCACAGAACAAGAATTTCATGACTGTATGGAACAAATACGAGGCATAAATGAGAGTGCCTTTTTGTATTTGAATGAGATTCCTGTTGAGATGTGGGCCCTGAGCTATGACGATGGCAAAAGATATGGCATTTTGACGACAAACCTTTCAGAAAGCTTTAACAATGTCTTAAAGGGATGTCGCACATTGCCTATCTGCGCACTAGTAAAGGCCACATTTGATAAAGTGGTCCAACTATTTGCCGATCGACGAAATGCGGGAATAATGTGGCACCAAGCTGGATTCTTGTATCCAAAGAACATATGGAAGGCTGTTCTTGAGCGATCACAGCGTAGGTATCACACAACAATTGTCCCGCACAATCGAACAACGGGGATTTACTCTGTAGCTATTAGTTCGCATGATCCAGTGACAATCGATCTGACAAGGCAGGAATGTGGGTGCGAGTATTGGAAGCAGAATGGGCTGCCATGTGTTCACGCATATGCGGTTTGTCGGTTTTTAAAAATAACCGTAGACGGCCTAATCCCAGCTGTGTATTCGTTAAATGCGTACATCCGGACGTACGCTTCTGATATTATGCCTATTAATAATGCGTACATCCCAGCAGAAACACAACATACACTTCTCCCACCCACAAACAACAGATCGGCTCGAGTCGGTAGGCCACAGAGAACTCGATTTACTAACGAAATGGATTTGCGTGCTACGGGTAGAAGAAATGAGTAATATTGTAATGTATACGTTTCTGGATTTTTTGTTTTGCATCCAATTAGTAATGAAATATTTGTTCTCTTTTTCGAATCTGTTTCATTGTATCTGACATTTTGGTTCACATAAATTCCATCAGATAAATTTAATTTTGTACGACGCCGTATAAATTCAGATAAAATTAATCAGATAAAATCAATTAGATAAAATCAAGCAGATAAAATTTTATCAGATAAAATCAATTAGATAAAATCAAGCTGATAAAATTTTATCAGATAAAATTAATCAGATAAAATCAAGCTGATAAAATTTTATCAGATAAAATTAATCAGATAAAATCAAGCAGATAAAATTTTATCAGATAAAATTAATCAGTTAAAATCAAGATGATAAAATTTTATCAGATAAAATTAATCAGATAAAATCAAGCAGATAAAATTTTATCAGATAAAATTAATCAGATAAAATTTAATAACTTCGATACTCCTACCTAACTATGTGTCGGCAAACAAACACATTCATCCATAAACAAACACATTCATCCATAAACAAACACATTCATTCACGCGGATCACAATCTAACGGTTTGAAGAAGCTTTGGGATCACAATCTAGGCTCTCTCTGGTCGGAACTGCCAAATCCGACCAAGAGATTTTTAATTTTTTCACCCACTCCAGTCGGAACTATGCAATCCGACTGGGACTTGATATATACTCCAGCAACCCTCATTCGATTACTCATTAGTTCATCATTAATCCATCACTCTCAGATTTTCATTCCCATACAACCGTCCTCACAAGTTAGTTGCCCTCAATCAATCTCAATTTTTTTTATTCTGAAGCAACGATACTCACAACCAAATCAAGTTATCTACCCTTTGGGATCAGACAAATTTTGAGGTTAGTTAAATTTCGGTTTGAGAAGTGTACAAGTAATTAAATTTTTAATTTGTGAATTTTTAATTTATATAGTCAAATTGGACTTTTAGAGTAAAATTTAGCTATAAAATACTTGAAACTTAGAAAGTGTGTTAGATTTAGGATTTGCCTTAAAATTTCGGATTTAGAAGTGTAGAAGTAGTTAATTTTTTAATTTGTGAATTTTTAATTTATATTGTCAAATTGGACTTTTAGAGTAAAATTTAGCTATAAAATACTTGAAACTTAGAAAGTGTGTTACATTTAGGATTTACCTTAAAATTTCGGATTTAGAAGTGTAGAAGTGGTTAATTTTTTAATTTGTGAATTTTTAATTTATATTGTCAAATTGGACTTTTAGAGTAAAATTTAGCTATAAAATACTTGAAACTTAGAAAGTATGTTACATCTAGGATTTGCCTTAAATTTTGGATTTAGAATTGTAGAAGTTGTTAATTTTTGAAGTTGTGAATTTTTAATTTATATTGTCAAATTGGACTTTTAGAGTAAAATTTAGCTATAAATACTTGAAACTTAGGATTTGCCTTAAATTTCAGTTTTAGGGGTGTAGAAGTAGTTAATTTAGTAATTTGTAAATTTTTAATTGAGATTGTGAAATTGGACTTTTAGAGTAAAATTTAGCTATAAAATGTTTGAAACTTAGAAAGTGTTTTACATTTACGATTTGCCTTAAATTTCAGTTTTAGGGGTGTAGAAGTAGTTAATTTAGTAATTTGTAAATTTTTAATTGAGATTGTGAAATTGGACTTTTAGAGTAAAATTTGGCTATAAAATGTTTGAAACTTAGAAAGTGTTTTACATTTAGGATTTGCCTTAAATTTCAGTTTTAGGGGTGTAGAAGTAGTTAATTTAGTAATTTGTAAATTTTTAATTTAGATTGTGAAATTGGACTTTTAGAGTAAAATTTAGCTTACAAAAATTACCATTACACAAATAAGTTAGATGAATTTGTATTATACGTAGTATATGGAAAAGGGTATAGTAATTATAAACTTTGGTGATTTTAGATAAAAAAAAATTATTTTCGAAAATTACAAGGGTAATAATAAGTTAAACGTAGTATTAGATTATTTTAAATGAATTCACATATGGATTACAACAAATTATTTACATTCTAGATGGTATGAAATATAGCAAATTGAGTTAACCTTTAGTGTTATACATAGTTGGTTTAGTATTATATAGCGAATTGAGTTAAACTTTAGTCAAGTGAGTTACATATTTTAATAGTTAAAAGTTTAAATTAGTTAAAATAGATGATATTTTATAGTTAAATTAATGTTATACACAAAAGTTATTTTAGATTACTTTAGATAATCAAATTAGATAATCAAATTTAGATGGATTAGTATTATATAGTGAATAGGGTATATTAATTACATTTTTGAAATTTAGTATAAATAATATAGCAATTAGTTTGAACTAGTAATTAAGTGAATTGAGTTTAATTTTGGTAATTTAAGATTACATTGTAATTTATCGAAAATTAAATGCCAATACTACATATCATGAGTTAATCTTAAATATTATAACATAATGAGTATATATCACTTATATTAGTAATATATGTATTACTTAGTGTACTATATACTTAGGCTAATATATTAAATAATACTAATATTATGCATAATTAGGCTAATTAATTACTCTATAATTTAATATCATTATAATAATATTACGCGTACCTAATTAGTTAGATATAATAATTGGACTTTTACTCATTAAAATCGAAATTAGTAGTTATTTTGGTAACTTTTAGGATTTTAATTTTAGATTGTGAATTTATAGTGTAGGAGTAGTTAATTGAGTAATTTGTAAATTTTTATTTGAGATTGTGAAATTGGACTTTTAGAGTAAAATTTAGCTATAAAATGCTTGAAACTTAGAAAGTGTGTTAATTTTTTAAGTTGTGTTTATACATAATTAATAATTGTTAGAACCTCTCATCATAATTATGAAATATTTCCTTTAATGTCAAATTGGACTTTTACTAAAAAAAATTACTTTAACAATTGAACTTTTACTCATTAATTTTGAAATTACTAGTTAGTTTGGTAACTTTTAAGTTTTTAATTTTAGATTTAGAGTTCAATTTCGAAATTAGTAATTTATAACTACTTATTTCAGGAATTTCAAATGGACCAAAACACTTCGCGCCCAGGGCCTGTTAACTGTTCCCTACTCACGTTGCCACTGCGTGCCCATCGTGCTGACCGTGTGTGGTATGAACCAGATTCCAAAGACTTGTGCTTAAAATGCGTGAACTGCCCTTCAGCTGCATTCGGAGATGAGGAGAGAGATGAAAGAGTAAAAAATATGTTAGCTTATGCTGGGTTCTTGGGGGTAGAGCACATTGCCCGTATGAAGGTGGATCATAGTTTAATATGCGCTTTGGTGGAGAGATGGAGGCCGGAGACACATACTTTCCATCTTCCATTCGGTGAGGTTGGCATTAGCCTACAAGATGTGGCGATGATCCTTGGTTTGCCCATTCGAGGTATGCCCCTTAGTGGTCCTACCATTAAGGGTAAGGCTGAGTGGATCAACCTGTGCACGCAGTCATGTGGTTTCACTCCTTTAGAGACTGATATGCGCACGAGTGATATCACCTTGAGTGCTGTTACCCGTCACCCGATTGTACCTGACAGTACAGACGAAGAGGTCACCGAACACACCAGGACCCTAATATGGCAATTGCTTGGAGGGTTTTTGTTCCCTGACACGAGTGGGACAAGAATACGATTGTACTTTTTGGAAGTCTTGCAGGGTGACTTGGCTTTAGCCCGTCGATGGAGTTGGGGATCGGCGGTTCTCGGGTACCTCTACCATAACTTGTGCAACGGCGCCAAGTGGGAAACCAAACAAGTTGGCGGCTGTATGCACTTGTTACAGATTTGGGCTTGGTCGAGGATTTCGATGTTCCGTCCCTCAGTACTTCAGGTCATTCAACATGACCATCTTCCATATGGGTGCAGGTATGTTGCCAATTACATCTTAATAATTGAGAATGCTTTATATGACGTTACATTTTTTAACTTCATATCGCTAATCAACAAATGTAGGTGGATCGTCCCCAAGTCATATAAGGGATCCCCAAGACATTGCATACGCTTGTACCGGGATGACCTAGACCGCATGAGTGAGAATCAGGTAGTACTTGAAATTTTTACTTCAACCGTACTATTCAATTTTCAATACACATTGTTTTATAGTTCTGAAATTGTAAATTAAACTTTTTACAGTTTGATTTCATTCCCTACGCGTCCGAGACACTCCCACCTCTCGTCCTTAATGAAGCTCCGCTTTGGTCGGCTAGGGTCATGCTCATATTTTGCAATATGGCCGAAATGCATTACCCCGATCGATTTCTTCGGCAGTTCCATATAAGGCAAGATATTCCGAATGCTCCTTTGACAGGTAATGATAATCACGGCAATCGTTCCAACATAGTAGCTGGTGCCTTGGCGATGTGGGCGAACATACAACATCACATATACTTTCTTGATTACGCTCAACATATGTTCCTCGAAGCAACTAATAGGTACCGAAAATGGTACAAGAAGTATGGTATGACACGTGTCCAGAACCCTTCTCACAATGTGCCCACGACAGGCTACACCCCGACAGCACACGATTGGGGTATTGTGGTAAGTTTTTGATCGAATACATACCATATTCATTAACATATATCGTGTCATATTGTTTACATGTTACAAAATTTTATGTAGAAGCAAGGCGTTCACGAGGTGTATCAGCTCTTAGCCGATCGTGCGAGTTATGAGGACTGTCAAAAACGACTACGGCAGATGGCCCTGGACGTAGGTGATGAAGAGATGCTCCACCGGGGCATATTCCATTATGAAGATGAAGATGAAGGTGGAAGTGACGAAGAGGATGATGCAGATGAACATGAAGGTGGGGGTGAGGACTCACCATCGCTCCCTCAATTCTCAACACATGGTGTCTCATTTGATCAACCACCCCCTCAATTCTCAACACAGGGTGTCTCATTTGATCAACCCCCCCCCCCCCTCAATTCTCCATTAGAGAGCGCCGCAAGCCTGCAAATCGCCATTAGCCAAAGCGGTCAGCGGTGAGGAGCCCAAATAGCGGCCAGCGACTAGAACACCTTCTTCTGTCAAGGCTTCAAACAACCCGACAACGGCCAGTAAATTATTCCCAATCTATTAGCTATGAATAATAAATCCACTAAATGTTCTTTTGATTTATGAATTATGGATTTTTGTATGATGCATTTTTGTTGTCTTGGTAAATTCATATTTGTTTGGTATTGTGCAATTTTGAATTGAATTCCTTTATTTCGTTTTACTATTTGTGAAGGTGTTTGATAAAATGGGTGAATATGGTTGAGAAAAAGAGAAAGAGAGACAAAGATTAGAAAATGCAGCCTTGGCAATGGAAAATTTTGTTTTTGTTAAGAAATTGAATCCCGCAAATTCTTCTCAAGTTGAATCGTCGCTAAATTCTTTTGTGAATGAAAACCATAACATGCTTGGAAATAGTGATATAGGTGCAAAAGCCGCAAATAGTGAAATTGAGCCAGATAATTGTGATTTAAGTGAAGAGAATAACTTTTGGTGGGCCATGTTTCGTTGATCGATTTTTAGAGATTAGTTTTTGTCTTGAACATAGACCCAAATAATATCTCGCCCATAGGCCCGAAAATCGATAGGACCGGCCCTGATTGAGCTTGGATATGATATTCAAACTCAAGAGCAATTTTACAAAGATAAATTTTTACTATTATAATTCTATATTTATATATACATACTGTAATTTATACATAAGTAACTTATTATTAATGGTCCATGAGTCCGTGACTGGGAGATTAATTCTGATAAAACATGTTCTTTCTACTATTCCCCTTTATCCCATGGCCTTGGCAAATGTCCCTAAGAGTGTTTTAACCGAGATTGAAAAAAATGCATTAATTTCCTCTGGGACAGAACTTCAGAGCACCACAAACATATCTGGAGGTCATGGGATAATTGTGCCTATCCTACTAATGAAAACGGCCTTGGATTTCGTAGGTTAAGGGATGTTCAAAAATGCTTCTTTGTAAAGCTATGGTGGAAAAGTGACAACGGGAACAACATTTGGACCAAAATTTTCAAAGCCTTTCGTAGTCCAAGTCTTTCATTTTTCTGGAATTCGATGTGCTCTGTTAAAGTTATTTATAGTGCCAACACTTGTGTGATTGTGCATGCTGGTAACAGGTCGTTCTGGGATTCCAATTGGAATCCCCTTGGACTGCTCAAAAACCTGATACCTGAGACTCAATGTGACCCTCTGCTTTCCATTCGTGAGGCATATAATAACCTCTCGGCCCACATTTACATGCTGCCATGGGATGTCCAAACTGCCTTGACCCAGATTACTCCCATCTTTGATGATGGGGAGGATGAGATTCATTGGACCAAGTCCAACAATGGAAAGTTCCAGTTCCATTAGAAAGAAAAGGCCCAAAACCACGGAAATTGGTCAACTTTGGCATAAACCGATTCCAAAAAAACTCTCTTTTTTCCTTTGGAGGATTTCTAACAATCTCATCATTTGCTCTGAAACTCTTGTCAAATTCAGCTATGCCGGTCCTTTTAAATGCCCCCACTGTGATCATGATGACAACATTGATCACTGTTTTCTGCAATGCAGTTATCATAAGCCTATTTGGGAGCACTTCCAAATTAAAAGAGACAAGCTTATTGGTACAATTACAAGCAATATCCTAAATTGGACAAAGCACAAAAAATTCCTGCTTTATTGTATCATTCTTTGGAATATTTGGAAGGTGAGGAATGCCAAGTTGATTGAGAATATTATTATTAATGAGTCTGAGGCCATTTCCAACATCCGTAGAGACCTCATGGACTACACTCCTAGGTCTAAGATCTCCAAAAACCCAATCCCTAAGCCTCGATTGATGACATGGATTCCGCCTAATACCAATGACCTTACGTTTAACCTAGCCCTTACTTCGTCCTTCTTACATCACCAAACTGGTTTTCTTGTTCGTAATCACAATGGGGAGATGATTACGCATGCTTTTAATAGTCTTTTTAACTCCTCTTATCATTTGGCTTATTTTGATGCTATTCTCTTCGCATTAAATCATTGCAGGAATCTGGACATTCGAATTAATACTCTTGAGATAGATAATTGCAAGATTGCTAACGCTCTAAACATGCAATGTGCTGATTTAAGAGGTTCCATCTTCACTGTAATGAGAATTCGACGGCTTATGAAAGATAGCTTCACACAATGTCGCTACATTAATCACGCTCTCAACAAGGCTGCAAAGTTTATTAGTGAGGGTCATGACCCAAACACTAATCAATTTACAAACATTCTCAAATTTGATTGCATTGGCTTCCCTTCTGTAACCATGTAACTTTCCTAGTAGGCTTGGTTTGGTCCTCCTACTTGTTTTCCTACTTTTGCTAATAAATTCGCTCACTTTCCCCTAAAAAAAAAAATTATGGTCCATGATTCTGTGAGCTGACTAGCATGTCACGACAAGTATAATTAAGTATGAGCTCCGTTCTATTTCTTAACTCTCGTAAAGGGTCTCTTTACTCTCTTATGATCCCACCAACAACAGCCCTCCATTCTTCTAAATGAATCATCATATGAAATTGACAACACAATTTTTCATCTTACTTTTCCATGAGCAATTGACAGCTCTTCCAAAAAAAATGAGTATTTGACAGCACAAGAAGCTTAACATCACCATCAAAAGCTTTTATGAGACCTTGTTTTGGAAGATCCAACAACAACAACATCCAAGCCTTAGTCCCAAAAGAGTTTGGGGTCAGCTAAATGAATCAACATATGAAATTGGAGTTTAGCAATTCATATTTTGACACATGTCATATTGTTGGCTGTCACGCTCCTACCACAACGTCTTCCTCCTTTATCCTGAATTGGGACAGGTATGACCAAAAAATGATCTAATGACGGAGTTTTGTTTCGAAAGAACCAAATAAACAAAAATCAATTAGAGGAATGCTGAATATTAAAGGGCTTATCGCCTTATCCCCTTGCATTCAACCCACCAACTCATGAAGAATTAACCACTTTTTCCATTTTCTGGTCCTAATTCCATACTTAGCCCCATTGAAGCTCCAGATAGCCCTGGTTATAACACTGGATTGTCTACAACACCGCCATTAAGGCTAAGAGAGCACTAAATTTGGACATTGTGACAGAATCCACCGGAATTCAGGAGTCACAGAGCTTAACTGTTGAAAATCGAGATCTTCGAAGGAACGAAATTGTTCCACAAGGCTTTGGAACTTGGAAGATGTTTGAATCTCCTTATTAGAAATGAGAAGCTTAAAGCATGCAGTACTAATATACCAGATTATTACTCCTGGTTTTTCCATTGACCTGTTCCCCCAACTCCCGGGCGAGTAAGACATTATCAGAAATATTCTTACCTTTGACGATTCCATATTGATTATCATGATATGATTTTTGGGAGAAGCTTGACTAAGCTGGCATTTGACACCTTAGACAGGTCTTTATTCATGACATTACAAAGGCTATTTGGTCTTAAGTCTTTCCCATTAGCTTGTTGGCCAACATTACAAATCAAGACCAGATGGCAGTGATGCTCTAACGAATATCTCTTCCAAAAAAAATCAGTTATTGCCTGCACAAGTTCGTTTTTTATGATGTACCACTATTTTTGGTAAAAAGCTGCTCCAAAACTAAATCAGTTTAACTTCTTTCATACTATAAGTTTTGTTAGGATTAATAATATCTTCATACTGATTAGGAAAGGTGTAGAAATTCAAACCAGCTGGGTATATAGGGCAAGAATAATAGTTTCCTATTATTGTTGATCTAGAGTATCTTGAGATCTTATTTCCTATTATTGTGGATCTAGAGTATCTTGAGATCTTATTTCATATATATGTATAGCTGTATATTTCTTTCCTTAATAGTAGGAGTAGTTCCTAGAAATCAGGATCAGTTCAAAGGGATCCTTGTGTATAAATATACCCAAATTCATCATAATACACAAGAGAGATAATTCCAAATTCTGATCTCCTTCAAAAGGTATGCCCTCCATGAGCCTGGTTGCACACACTTCACTAACTTTCGTGAATAGAGATATCTAATTGCAGAATCAGAAATATAATCAGGATCAGAATAAGATTCTCCTGGCTCATCAGTGACACCATCAAATTTTGGACTTTTGCTTGCTAAGCCATGGACAGAAGTGTGTTTATATTTCCTTCAAGGCATCAAGCATCCATTAATACCACTATTTTGTTTCCAAAGTTTCTTCACAAGCAAACTGAAGATTCAATTGTTCATAAGCTAGTGCAATTCAGCTCTAACCTCAGCAGTTTATTTTGAACATGCACCAACTCCTTACCCTATCTACAGCCATCTTGAGATTATCAAGGATGTTTCCAAATTTGTTTACTATCTGGAACTCCAACGATGAAATCACGGGTTAATCTAAGAGAGAAAAGGCTTTTTCAGATTGCCTCAAAGCCAGGGGTGTGATGACAGTATTTGCCGAATGAGAAATTTTTGTTAAGAAGTTTTATAAAATATCAGATCGATTGGTACATTTAGTACTACCTCCATCCCATATTGTAAATTGCATGTGTCTTTGGCACGAGTTTTAAGAAAATAAAAGTAAGAAAAAGTAGGATGGGACCAGAAAAAGTAAAAGATGAAATGATAGATAAAAGGATAATGAGAAAGTAAAAAGTTAGTGGATTTCAATTTAAGTAAGTGTTCATATTTTTTGGACAACTAAAAAAGGAAAGTGAATCTTACAAAATGGGACGGAGGAAATATTATTTTGAGAAAAAGAAAAATCAAACAAGACTCTATTTATGTGATGGTGAAATATAAAAAGAAAACAGAAAATACTGTGCAAAATTATGAATTATGTGAATTAAATATAGTTAGTCACTAGAGTGCCAATGGATGTCATGTGCAAGCTCACAGTTTTTAAAGATACTTAAATTTCTGCATCTGGGTTAGACAGGGAAAGAAGTTCAGAGAGAGAGAGAATATTTGTATATGGAGAAAGAGAATGCAAGAGACAAAACCTTAGCTCTAGGGGGAGCACTGTCGTGTTGGATTAATTATTTTGGAATGAGGAGAATTGCAATGGAATTATTGCAGTAAGAATTATACGACCAGAGAGAAATTTGGAACTACTGCAGTATTAAATGCCATTTACATCATCAATGCCTACATGATTTAAAATAAGATACCATCATATGGAGAATATGGAATTTACTACTTCAACAAATACATTTCACGCAGCATGATGTATTAGATAAAATCAGGCATATTACCTCCGGGACGACATCATGTTTCTCCACTTCAATGGAATCATTAGACCCCTGTCTCTGTAAGTTTGATCTTTGGTACAATGGCGAGTGCTTCTTTTGGAAAGATTGAAGAAAAAGGGGGGGAGTTTTCCCTGATGATGTTATTTGATCTGTGTAATATGCAAAGAGGAGAACCAATAACCATTCCACAAACATGACAATTATGACCTCTCTCATCCCGTTTTTGCCATCATTCTAATTCTTCCATTTCATTACGGTGGTCCCCATATAACTACCAGTGAAAGAATATTGTGAAAACTCATATAATCCACGATAAAGTGAGAATCCAGGATGCAACTCCATAGCAATAATCCAGCCTCCTGCAACGGAATCATTTAAAGTGTAAGAAGAGTAAATTATTATAGCCCTTCCCTAACGTGATTAGGAAAGAATCTAGTACAAAACAAACAAAGGTTGCTGGTTAATGATAGCAGAAAATGAACCACATGTCTTAGCACTAAGACAATAAGGGGTTTACTTTTTTTCCTATTAAGTCTTGTCTGAGTTAAAATGTTTGTCTGGATTAAGTGGTATTTGTATATGAGGCTGCTCATTTTGTGTGCAGAACAAACAATCTGAATTGAGTAAAATAATCAATTTAGTACTATTCTTGAGTTATAATGTCAATGAGAAATTTCATTTATTAACATAAATCTATGAAATAATTACATGAATATGACCCAAATAAAGATGGTTTACAAAAATATGACTAGTTACTAGAGTAGTAATGAAATCATAGTAATTCATGTTCAAGTTTTGAACTTAAGTTACAACAACACCACGTGTAGTAATGAATAGTCATATTTATGTAAATAAGTTTAATTTTAGTAATATTCTTGTTAAAAACCCTAAATCTATTCAACAATTGATTTTAAAAACTTGATACCAAAGACGTCTTAATAGACGTCTTAATGGGAAGGACAATTATTTTTCAGCTTGATGATAAAGTCTGTTTTTGTACTGAATGATTGAGTCATTATTTCAATTAAGTCGTAAGTAGACATGACTTAATGGCTAAACGATTAAGTCGCTTTTCTCACTAAGTCCATTAAGTCAAAACTAAACAACCCCTAAATGCTTTACACATACCATGGTAATGATATTTCCCAGTCCCTTAAGGCAGTAAGATAGCCAAGTCCTAGTTTGGAAACCATTCACCATTAAGGATGGCAATGGGGGCGGGGGCCCGTGGGGAACCGCCCCGTGGGGGGGAGTTGGGGCGGGTGGTGGGGTGGGGCGGGTGGTGGGGTGGGGGAGATATTTTCTCCCCGCAAAAATATGGGGCGGGTGATGGGTTATGCACCCCCCGCACCGTCCCCGCCCCGTCCCCCGTAATAATTAATAATAATAATCTCAATAATAATACTAATAATAATAGTAATACTAATACGAAGTAATTAAAATAGCATGGTGGTCCGGTGCGTTTAGTGGTTTCCTATCTAATGGATTGTGCGTAATGGATCTATCTAATTCTTGTTTAATAACTAAGCTATCTTGTAAAATTGCTTATCAAAATCATAAAGTAAAATGAATTTTTTAGAGATAAAATAAAATGAATTTGGGAAAGTTATAAAGTGATATTAGCTTAAACGCCTCAGGCACGGTGTGAAAGTTTTTTTCCTTTACTATTATAATGCATTAATTCTTTTCTTTTGAATGTCATCTTTATGATTGTAGTTAGGGCTCTTAAAATTTGGTGATCATATGTCATCCTAGATGCCGTCAAATGACCATGATTGATTGAATGCAGAGTTTAAGAAAATATTATAGAGCTAATCAATGCTAATTTAGAGTTTGATAAAAATTACTAATTTTGAACGCGTATAATGTGTTCTAGATTTGAAATGAGATGTAAGATTACATTGACACTTAAAAAGTAAAAAAAAAATTGGCTACTAGAAGTGTTGTTAAATTTTTGAAAAATTGCCAGAGTCTAAAATGATGTTAATTTTTGACGAGTACTTCCCCGTTGGGTACCCGTGGGTCTAGCGGGTCGGGGCGGGGATGGGGCGGGTCGAATAGTAGTGGGGGATGGGGCAGGGGTGGGGGCGATTTTTTAGACACGGGGCGGGGGATGGGGGAGTGAACCCCCGCCCCAACCCCGCCCCATTGCCATCCCTATTCACCATTGTCAAACCCGGATAGCGGAGCGTAGCGGAAGATAGCCAAGTCCTAGTTTGGAAACCATTCAGCATTGTCAAACCCGGATAGCGGAGCGTAGCGGCCTACCACGAAAACGCTAAAGCGGTATAGCGAAATAACGGGATGGCCGCTATTCATACACCTCTTATGCAGAATATATATAATTATATTTATGCATACAATTACATTACATACATATATGACATCCAAAAAATGTATGTACTACTCGGTCTCAATCTCCATCATATCATAAATTACTCATATAAAGCCATTAGTCTTGAAGTTCTAAATCACTAAAGACACTATTATTGTCTTTTAAATCTTTCAAACTATTCCACTGCCAAGGAAGATCAAATTTATCTCCTGTAAGCTCTTGATTGAGACTTAGACGAGTAGAAGAGCTGAAAGTATAAAAAGAAGAGAAGTTGGAGGCGAACGTAGTTGAAGCTGAGTTGCAATAGTAGTCATGGGATATTTTTTAAACTTGGGATGAGTTTTACGACTTAGAAGGGTTTTAATATTGTTACTTTCTATTTTAAAACCCCTATTTTACCCTTATAAAACTGAAAACCCACAAACACCCCAAAATATCTTGTGCAGACCATTCAAATTTGAAATTTCAGCAGAGCGCGTGATAGTTTCTTGTGTAATCTATCACTAAAGAAAAATAGAGCTAATAATACCTGATTTGTACTGTTCAGAAGCCCCCCCCCCCCCCCCCCCCTCCTCATTGGGACTGAAGTATGTGCTCCATCCTATAGAGCTAATAATACCTGATCATGTGCTTAGACAGAATGCATTAAATTTTATTGATCTGGTTGAGCTATATTTGAATAGATTAGGAACTTCTTGCAGATTAGGAAGACTCATAGAATGGAGCACATACTTCAGTCCCAATGGGGGAGGCTTCTGGACAATACAAATCAGGTACTATTAGCTCTATTTTTCTTTAGTGATAGATTACACAAGAAACTATCACGCACTCTGCTGAAATTTCAAATTTGAATGGTCTACACAAGATATTTTGGGGTGTTTGTGGTTTTTCAGTTTTATAGGGGTAAAATAGGGGTTTTAAAATAGAAAGTAATAATATTAAAACCCTTCTAAGTCGTAAAACTCATCCCAAGTTTAAAAAATATCCCATGACTACTATCCCAACTACTATTCCTAATCTATTCAAATATAGCTCAACCAGATCAATAAAATTTAATGCATTCAAAGACACTCAGCACCTTAGGGGGTGTATTCAATTGAGACATTTGTAGACATTTTTAAACTTGGGGATTTTACTAGACATTCAAGACATTTATGGATTTGCCTAGATTTTGGTGGATTTGGACATGAGACATATTAAGACATTTGTAGACTTTTATTTAACTTTTCCACTCATTACAGAACGTTGCAACAGTAGGCCCATCAAGTACTCTATGATCAACTCCTATGTTTACTGTCAAAACAAAACTGATGCTGGATACACACATTTCCATCTTCAGCAAAAATTATGGCAACTTCGGGGACATTGGTTAGAGGGGAACCATACTTCCCACCAACTGCTCCAATGTTGCTTAGAGTAGAAGTCCCACCAAATGCATCTTCAGGGTCAAGCTTGTTGGCCATTGCAGACTTTAGCAGTCTTCAAAGTACATAAATAGCGAAAAAAACTATACTAGTTAATAACATTATCCCAAAAACATTGAGAAATAGTAATGTTCAAGAAATAAACATACAAATAATCCCAAATACTCAAAATGGGAACAAGGTTCTGGGCAAAAATCCTAATCCTGGATACATATCATTTCAATTTATATGATATCCATTCTGCACAATCTTCTGCAGCCATGTTAACGAATTCAGCTTTTTTTGCTTTCGTATTAAGCAAATCAAGAGCTCTGAAGCGATCATCAGCACACAAACTCGGGATCTCCTTTATCATATCCCAGCAATTGTACTCTTTTGTGTCGACTGATTCTATAACACGGGCAAACCTGTCCACATTTTCTGTGAGCTTTTCCATGAACTCTGGGCGGGGCTGTTGAGCAGATTGCGGTGCAGATTGAATCTCAGGAGAGGGTGGAGAAGAATGTTGTGCACTTGAACGGACAAATGCATCATTGAGGGGATCATATGTTAATCCATCCAATGTACTACGAGTTTCTGTCAAGTCTTCTATTGTATTGTCAGTTTGTCACCTACTGCAATGGAATGTGCACCTCTAGCAGTGCCATTACCCACGGCAATTCTCAGATCTTCATAATCAGGATGCGATTCTGTTCTTAAGCTTGAGTCTTTTTGATGGGACTAGGAAAAGAAGTTACAAATTTATTTGATTAGGTATAAAAAACAATATGTGTTTAAATATGATGTATGTATTATGTCATAATAAATAGAGTTCACCTTAAAATAGTTGTCCCACACTTCTTCAGATGCAGTGAAAAACTTGGAATTATGATCCCATCCAAAGCCAGAATTGTGCTGCATGAGATTACTGTACTTGCAATACAACCTCTTGAAGTATTTCTCACGACTATTATATTGTTTGTAAGTCATGTCGATTCCAAGGTTGTCGTTAAGAGGCTTTAGTATGTGCTGCTCCACCGTTGACTTGTTAATTTTGCCGGAGCGATCACGCCAATTTCGGTTGGCAGCATCAACCATTAGCCGCAGTAGTTCATTGCTTTCTTCATTGGTCCAATTTCGATATCCCGAATCTCCCATGTTAACTGGTCTAAACAAAACAATGTATTTGGATGCACAAACATAAAAATAACACAAGTTATATATTGATCAATTGAACGCAGCTTTAGCTCAACTATGAAGGCATTCCATAGCTATTAGTCTATTACGTAGTTGATTATCCATAGCTCAACTAATTAATAAGAGTAAAAACACATATCTCAACTTTTAATTGATCTTGTTAATCAATTGAACAAACATTAATAGCTATAGCCTCCAAAATCAGTTCCAGCAAAAGCTACGTTTTTGCTTATTTCCAAGTGAAAATAAGCAAACATTACTACTGCACATATTGTCAATTGTCATCTAATAAGGACTTGAGGCTTATTTCCGTATTTTGCTTTGCTTATTTTCACTTATGAATACTTGAAAAGAACGTTTGCAGATTGTGTTTACGGTATGTTTACTATCTAAACCAATAGCTTATTCTCACTTATCAGTTCCAGCCAAAGGCTCGACACATGGTCACTATCGGACCAAAAGCAATGGCTTCCACCAACATCTACCCTACCGCTAGAAGATTTACCACTACGAAAAAGCCAACCGCAGGTATACTTTAGTAGAACTTTTGCAGAACAAGAAAAAACGGTAATCAACAAGATAGTGAAGAAATAATTACCTCAACCCTAGAGATGCAGTTCTTGAATTCCCAGTCGTCTTCGCTTTTCTTTAATTGAGACATTCTAAGACATTTTATAAATCCTAAGATGTCTAGGTGTATTTATATTGGACATAAGGACTTGGATTCTTGTTTCAATCTGGACTTACCTAGACTCATAAGCCCAAATACAAGTATAAATCCTACGTGAGATTTCACAAATCCTAAAATGTCTACAAATGTCCCAATTAAATACACCCCCCTTAATATGGTAGAAAAATAAGACCTCCAAATTACCTACTATAGGCTGAGCATTATTCTTAGCTTCCTTTGTTAGCCATTAACGAGTAAAAAAGAACTTGTACATCATCTCCATTAACCTAAATCATGTCCTGATACAACAACATCCAAGCCTTACTGCCTTAGTCCAAAAGACTTTAGGGTTGGCAACCCAAATCAAGTCCTGGTAAATATGCATTTTCAGCAGAGTGAAAATACCCTCTTGAATGATGATGATAGATCAGTGGTAATTGCTAGCTCAAAACAGTATAAAATCAATAGGAAATAAAGAAGAGAGGATCGGAAATTCTTATTATCGATGATGAACAGAACAAAGAGGAATACAGTAGCCTTGGACGATTCGAGATACCCAGTCTCCCAGCCTATTCCTAACAGAATACTTGCCTTCCATCCCTTTCTATTTATAGTACTAGCCCACTTATTAAGCTACCATAATAGGCCCAATACTCCAGATATACTAAATGGCCCATAATCCTCACTTATACATTATTTAATACCCCTTCCGTCCCGCTATGATTGTCCCATTTTACAATTTCGGTCCATCCCACTAAGATTGTCCCATACCTTATTTGGTAAAGTTTGTGTGGTTCTAAATCATTCCTACTTTATTCTTACTTTATAAATTCAATATCAACCACATAAACCCACCTTTATTAATAATTGTGCCACCTTCTCTTGTCCCAAACATAGGGAAACGGAGGTAGTACTATTCTAATATTCTTATTAGTATTATTGTCTAGATTCCTATCAATACTCCCCCCTAAACAACCACCTTGCCCTCAAGGTGGGTGATAGGAGTCAGCCATGATCTTCCACTTGCACTTCATTCTTGCACTTCCCCCTTCCCAATACTTGATTGATAGCGGGACTAAGAACTTCAATACCAATTCTTTTGATATCACAAACATTTCAGCAGGTGTTATCTTCAATATGGAACAGGAATTCCTATCTTCAAGGTAAAACTTCCATAGTTGGTAAGCTTCAAAACCAGTTTTCAAGGTTTGCTTCCCCAGCTTTACTGCACTTTCCTTTACTGTCACCCCCAACTTGGCATCAAATTGAGTGAACATGGACTCTTCAATTGCAATATACTGTGGATCATACTGCACCCCGGATTTTGTCAAAGCCCCCAGAATTATTTCAGTGTTGTCAAACCCCAGAGCTTTATCCTGACTTCCAGCACAAGCAACACCCTTTACCTTCACAGATTGTCCTTCACCAAACATAAAATAACCAACATCAGTGTCCTGCAGAATCTGAGTCATGGTTTTGAGTGATATCTCCATGGAGTTCAAGTATGGGTCCCCTTGAATCTGCTGATCTAACCCCTGAATCTTCCATTTTATACTTTGTTTCTGAAAGTTTATTTCCGCATCACCCAAAGTAGTCAGCCACTCCATTCAAAGCACCAAGTCTGTACCTCCCAGATCCAAAACATAAAAGTGCTGATTTATTTTGGTATCTTGTAAACCTAACGGTAGATCCTCACATCTGCCATTTTTGATAATCTCCTCTCTGTTACCAATCTGAACCATGTATCCAGTAATGGTGTGTAAGCTTAGTCACAATTGATCCACCAACCTTTGTGATATAAAATTGTGGGTGGCCCCACTATCAATGAGTACTTTCACCTCTACCTTCCCTTCAGCCCATTCTACTCCCTTTGACCTTGAAAGTCCTCAGAGAAGGTATCCCTTCCTTACTCAGAAGAGAATGTTCCCATCCTTAAATTCCATGGTAGTTCCTTCAGCTGCAATTTCCACCTCTGCACCTTCTACTTCCTCCTCATTATCAGAATCTTCCACCAGTATGAGTTTGTAATTCTTTAATTTGCAGGTATGTTCTTTGCTCCATTTTTCTCCACACTTAAAACGAAGTCCCTTCCTGCTCCTGTCCAGATATTCTTCCTGTGACAGTTGTGGCCCCACCCTCCTGATGTCTGAGGGCTTTATTTCTGTCTCCTTCTTTCCCTCAGGAGTAAACCAAGACGGGTTACTCTTGTTTTCTGCAGCATTCTTCCCACTTGTACTAGGCCATGAATTACCAGATTGAGACTTGTATCCTTCTCCCCAAACTGCCGGTTTATAAGCAATAGGTCCCTTATCTCTCCCAGCAACTTTCTCTTCACCTTTACCCTTCAGATATATAGCCTCATTTCTACTTTCAATCAGTAGAGCTCTGTCCATAATCTCATTCAATGAACTGGAGTTATGCAGCTTAAGTTCAGCTTTGATTTCAGTCTGTAAGCCATTCAGGAAGATTCCTCTCAAAATCTCCATATCAACATTAATTTGTGGAGCTATCACCATTTCAAATTCATCTCTGAACTTCTGCACACTTCCAGTCTGTTTCAAGCTTAGCATAGGCCCATATGGATTCTGAATTAGGTCTGGCTGAAATCTGTGTATGATAGCATTCTTCAAATTCTTCCAACTCGTCCAATTCAGTTTGGTGCTCCCACCAAATGAACCAGTTTAGAGCTCGGTCCTCCATTGCGACAACTGCAGCTTCCACCTGGTCTTCTTCACTAATCTGATTTAGGCGGAAATACCTCTCCATTCGCACAAGCCAGTTATACGCCCCATCCCCATTAAATACAGGTAAATCAAGTTTTCTACCCGTATGTACTGGAAATTGATGGTTATCCTCAGGTCTTCTGTGATACAAGTGATGCGGATTACCTCCCGATGTCGTAGGTGTGAGGTGACGAGGTTGCGATCGCGATCGTTCTCTGGACCGGAGCTGCTCACTCAACGCGGCAATAGAAGCCGCCATGTTCGTCGACAAGTTCTCCATCGCCGATTGTACCTCCTGTAGTTTCTGATCCATCGCATCCATGCGCATCTCCATGTTGGCTCTGGTTCTAACCATCCACCACAGAATGAGAGTTTATCTGAAGTCGCACTCCAATTCCGATCTCCAGGAGCAGTGATGCTCTAATACCAATGATAGATCAGTGGTAATTGCTAGCTCAAAACAGTATAAAATCAATAGGAAATAAAGAAGAAAGGATCGGAAATTCTTATTATCCATGATGAACAGAACAAAGAGGAATACAGTAGCCTTGGACAATTCGAGATGCCCAGTCTCCCAGCCTATTCCCAACAGAATACTTGCCTGCCCCAATTGCCTTCCATCCCTTTTTATTTATAGTACTAGCCCACTTGTTAAGCTACCATAATAGGCCCAATACTCCAGATATACTAAATGGCCCATAATCCTCACTTATACATTACTTAATACTATTCTAATATTCTATTAGTATTATTGTCTAGATTCCTATCAGATGATTTGTCATTAAACAAGTACAAGGCCCCCTAAATGACTATATTTTAGAACCATAATATACCCAGATGGACACTTAATGAAATGGAGAAACCTGATGAAGAAAAATCTTACCTTTAAATGTTCTAGTGAGTTCAGGTGCTGGGTATGGCTTCAGCCTTCAGCAATTCAAGCACATCCGGAGAAATAGGTGAAAAGTAGAAGACTTGAGAAGCAACGGCAAGTAAGCATGCACTAGAATTGGCATTTCACATCAACTCTTGACGTTGAAGATGAGAAAGAGAACAGATGAAGGATGGAAAAAGAGTAGCACCAAAGGGGAAGACGAAAATGAGATGAGATAAAAAGGGGTGTGATAGGAATATGAAAAAAGGGAAAAAGTGTGTCAAAAGAAAAATACATTTTGAGTTTTATTTAGCAATGTGCCAATGACGCATTCATAGTTACTCATACTGATATCACTTATTTTTATTTCCTTATTTTTCAAACCCATTTATCTGTATTGTCATTACGAGCACCTTAATCCAACTAGTTGGTCGATGCCATTAGATTATAGTGATAAATACCGGTATAAAATTACTTTGTACTACCTCCGTCCCAAAAAACGTTGTCATTTCATAAAATTTGGGACATGATTGTGATTAGTATAATATTATGGATGTTATAAATTTTATATTTTTATGAAAGTGCTTTTAACAAAGAACATTTTCATATCATTTTTATATTATAAATAATTTCCAATAAAAATATACAGTTGATCAAAGCTTTAGAAATGGTGAAGCTTTTTGGGACGGAGGTAGTGGTAAATACTATAAATTCATACAAAAAATAACTGAATGTCAATGTTTTACACCGGATGTCCTTCTTGTTGCAACCCTCTTAAGATGGAATAATGATATGAAAATTCCAAAACTGCCAGCATCGGAGATTATTTGCACATGCATAGAAAATATCATGAAGCAGTGATGAGTTGAGATATTTGTTGATGAGTTGAAATATCTGTTATTGCCATACCCATTACATAATTGATATTGCAAAACCAACATGTAAATATGGAAAATGACTGATCATTATCAACCTCTATATATCTAAAAATTTGGCTTAATATAATTTGATAGCTTAATGATGCAGTATCTTGCTTGTGTTTTCTGCTAGTATGCAATATGCATAAACATATTGTGTGCAAGACTGAGAGATAAAGAACTCCTCTGAGTTTCCTCCTCACCTGATCAAAGTTCCGAAAATATTGACAAGTGTTCCTCCACGCCTGGTGAAGCTAACTGCATTGTAGCGCATAATCTTCTGTATCCATTTGATAACTTAAGACATTAAGCATTGAATATATTTCCTCCATCCCCGTTTGCATCGATTTTCCTGCTGAGAACATATACACTTTCTTCTTCACCTCAACCCAGCTTTGTCCAGGAAATTTCATTAAGCCCCTTGTTTTTACTGAAAGTCTGACATTTGCCGAGTCGCCCCATCTACTGCAGCCAGCATATAAGTTGCAAAGCAACATTAAGCTCCCTGTCATCACAGAATCATGATCCAGAAGTTGAGCAGCGGCCTTTTCTGCAACATGCACGTTTTTATGCATTCTACCAGAGTTCAATAGTGCACCCCAAACACAAGCATTGGGTTCCAATGGCATGTTTTGCACCAAGTCATGAGCCTCCTGAAGCAATCCAGCACGGCCCAAAAGATCCACCACACAAGCATAATGCTCCACCTCTGGTTCAATCCCGAATTTTTTTCGCATTTCATTGAAAATTTTGCGACCCTCACTAACAAGCCCTGCATGACCACATGCAGAAAGAACAGCTACCATAGAAACCTTGTCCGGTACAAATCCAGCTTTAATCATCTTATCAAAGGTTTCCAGAGCTTGATCACAGTGACCGTGCATTCCATATCCAGATACCAACATGTTCCAAGAGCATAAATCTGTCTGTTCCATTCTCTCAAACACTATGTTCCCATCCTTTAAACTACCACATTTCATATACATGTTAATCAGTCCATTTCCTACCATTACATTTACATCTTTTAGAACCTTAAAAATAAAGCCATGGATTTCTCTACCCAGACACAGCGCAGATGTGTCAGCACAAACTGACAAAACACTTGAAATGGTAATGGAATTGGCCAGCACCCCGGCAAATTGCATTCTCCTAAAGAGCTCCAAGGCCTCCTCGTGCCTCTCCTTTGCCGAAAATGCCCCAATAACTACACTCCAACTTACTACATTAGGTCTGACCATTGAATGCTCCCCTAGCTTCTCCAATTGAGAAAGTGCGGAAAATGCCTCATCACATAAACCAGATTCTGCATAGGAAGATATTAAAGAATTCCAGCTAACTATACTCTTAGAAAGTAGTCCTGAAAAGAGAAGCTCAGCTGCATTGACATCACCATGTTTCCCATAAAAACTGATTAGAGAATTTATTACGATCGTATGGTTCTCAAAACCACCTTTTATGGCATGTTCTTGTATCAGCTTGCCCTTGTCAATTGCATTCATGGTAGCGCAGCCTGATATAACAACGCAAAGTGCCTCAGCTGTGATCTTAACTCCTCCCATTCTCATCTGAGTATACAGCCTACATGCATCTTCATGGTGCCCGCACTTAGCAAAACCTGACAGCATTGAAGTCCAAGTTACAGGATTCGGCTTCCAACCATCAGATTGCATCCGCAAAAACATCTGAAGTGCACCATCAGAGTCTAAATTACGAGAAAACCCTGAAATGATAATATTCCATGAAAGGTGGTTTCTTTCTGGCATTCTATCAAACAATGCTTGTGCGTAATCCATTCTCCCGATCTTTCCATACATGTTTAGCAGTTCATTTGCAGTATGAAGGTGATTCTGAAAACCCATTTGTATTGTGTGGCAATGGACGACCTTGCAGAGACTATGATCATCGGATAATGCACAAGCCCTTACAACCAATGGAAACCCAAAGGAGTCGGGACAAACTCCAAAACCACGCATTTTAGTATATATATTTACAGCTTCTATATAATCCCCACTAGTATGGTTCGCCCTCAATATCGAGTTCCAAAAGAGCATGTTAGAAAAGCACTCAACCGGGGAGGCTTCATATATTTCTCGGGCTTTGTATATAAGACCAAAATCTGAATAAGCGGAAATGAGCCTAGAGGCCAAGAAGGCTGAGCTGGAAGAGCCCGTAACTATGATTGCGGAGTGGACTTGTTTAATGTGCTCGACACATACAGTGCATTGCAGCAGAAGGTTGCTAAAGAAGCTAATGAGTTCGCTTTGAGAGCCTGAGTAAAAGGGCTGTCCGACGAACCTGGCGTTGAATGAAAGACTGGAGGAGGCGATGCGTCGCCGGTGGCGGAGACACAACATTTAGCGGGATCCCGTGCTCGGCTCAGTCTATATTACGGGCTGGCGGGGTGCTAATTACTGCTAGTTGGATCAAAATATAATCAACCTTGCTATACGTACCCTACCCCATTTTGTAGGGGTGGGCAATTCGGTTTTTGGTTCGGTTTTCTTCGGTTTCGGTTCGGTTTCGGTTTATTCGGGTTGGGAGAATTTGTATCAAACTAAAACCATTTGTGTTTCGGTTTGGTTTCGGTTCGGTTCGGTTTGAAGTTCGGTTTACCAAAGTAAAAAATATTATGTTTAATTTAATTTGATTTGATTCGTTTGCTTAGGTTTATTATTTTATTTGATCAAGTTCTATATTTTAGAATTAGAAAATGAAAGTAGTAGTCCATCTCATCTTTTTTAATTTATTGATTATTTAAATAAAATGTAAAAAGAAATAAAAGATAGAAAAATAAATAATAAAATATTATAAATTAAAACTTCTAACATCTTTTTTATCACTACAAAAAATTCACTTCCTACAAAAAATAAGATAGTTGATTAGTATTTATAATATCACATAAAATATTCAAAAAAAACCTAAAAGGGTCAGTGATACAAATGTTGTAATATTCACAATTTTATTCAAATGAATCATGTAAAAATATAAATGCAATTTGCTATTGTTATCGCCAAACATAATAAATAAAAATATGTCGTATTAGCTAACTTTGTCATAATGAATGTATGAAATGTGTAAAAGTAAAAATGATACGAGTATATGCTTAAATATGTATTTTCATGTCTAAATTATTTATTTATATCTTAACAATGAAGAGTGAAGATAAATACATAGTAGATATATATGTTGTTCGGTGTTCGGTTCCGTTTACGGTTTTTCCATTTTTAAACCAAACCACCAAAGTACCAAACCATTCGGTTTGAGCAAATGTTTACCAAATGGTTTACTTAAGTAAACCCAAACCAAACCAAATCAACCCACCAATTTTAATAATATATGAAAGTCTTTTTGAGTTTCTTTAGTTCGGTTCGGTTTTGTTCGGTTTTTATCGGTTTCGGTTCGGTTTTGTTCGGTTTTTATCGGTTTCGGTTCGGTTTGGTTCGGTTTAATACGGTTTGGAAGAAATAGTACCAAACTCAAACCAAATTGCATACGGTTCGGTTTCGGTTCGGTTTAGTTCGATTTGGTACGGTTCGGTTCGATTAAACCAAACCGTTATGCCCACCCCTACCATTTTGTACTCCAACTATTTTAGCTCACAAAAGCCCACTTCAATAAATGAATTGCACCACTTTAATGAGTTGCTTTTGTGAGCCACACAAATAAGGTGGGGTACAAATTGAGGTACCTTTAAGGTTGGTTTGCAACTGCTTCTAAAAAAGCACTTCTCAGCTTTTGGCTTTAAAAAAGCACTTATTTTCCCAAACACTACAACTTTTATTTTTCTCGGCTTCCGCGTCAAAAGTGCTTTTACCTTTTCTATTACACAAAAAGCACTTATTTTACCAAACACTACCCACTTTTACTTTTCAAAATCACTTTTTTCTCAAACACTATCAACTTTTATTTAATCACTTCTCTCCATTTCATTAAAAAAAGCACTTTTTTAAAAGCAGAAGCTGTTGCAAACAGACCCTTAGCATTTTTGAAATATAATCTATTCTATCTACTACGTAGAGAAATCTTCCTGTTTGGCCAGGCCGGACAGGGCTGTGGTCCTGTTTTGAGGTGGTGCCCGGTTGTATTTTTGGTTGAAATTTTTTGTGTATGTTCCTCATCAAGTCTAGTTTATCCATACCAAATTTGAGCAAAATATTCAATCGGGAAAGTCGTCAAATGATTTTTACATTACAACTGCCGCTCTTACAGTTTTGTTCATCTTTCTCTGAGGTCATAGTTTTGAACAGAACATTACTGGTTTGATCATATTTTTTGTATTTTGGTTCAGAATGTTTACACCTATGGTTCTACCATTTCACTTCTCCGCTTTATGGTTGTTAGAGGTACTAGTGCTGACAGTCCAAACTGTGGAGACGACCAACGGGGGCTTCCCCATAGGATTGGAGGTGCTGGAACTTAAGGAAGAAACTGATGAACTTTTGATGAACTCATGATGTAGTGTGCATTTCCGGAAGGGAAGGACCGAAAGAGTGTTGCACTTTTGTTGGGCACGTATATGGTTTCGAGTTCCCACATTTGTAGAATTAATGTTTTGCTGAGTTGGCTATTAGACAAGTTGATTTTATCTCAATACATAGGGATGATATGAACAAGTAACAATTTAAACACTTATTTGGGTTATAAGGTATCTTTGGTTCGTGTTTGGAGTTTGGACGGTTGAATTCCTCTAATTCCTAATGAAGAAACGCTAGTTTTGTTTTCTGCTTTGAAGAAAAAAGTCAAACTGACAACCTGAAATTTGAAATTGGAACTTCAATTCCCTGCACTTACATTATCTCCCTAATGAGTATAATTTTAATTTTCACATTTTTCATATTATTCAAATGATGACATTCTCACTTTAAATTCATATGAGTCATTTAATTTACACACTGGACAGGTTTTGTTTTTGGTATTGTCACCATCTTTATTCACCAGATACAATGCATGTTGGATTGTCCTACCACAAACATGTTATCCTAGGCCCGGGGGGCGGGTCCGGACTCGGGTCTTAGTTTTGGCGACCCGGCCGGATTGGGCCCTAGTCCAGGCCAATTTGATTTTTTTTTTTCATTTTTTTGGGTCACCCGAGTTGGGCTTCATGGTTAGGAGGGGTTTGGGGGTGGGGGTGGGGGTTAGGGGGGTTAGGGCTACTTAGGAAAGAAAAAAAATAACCAAACCAAAGGCCTGACCCGGACCCGGACCGGACCCGGTGGCTACCCGGACCGGTCCTGGGTCCACCTAATCTGAACCGCCGGCCCACCTGGACCTAGGCCCGACCCGGACCCGGACCGGCCCGAGTCCAGGCCTAGTTAATCCTTATCACAAGTCAACTCCACTTCACTTTCCTAGGATTTGCTTTACATCCAGATACAATGCATGATTTCTTGCGTCTTTTAAATTCAATACTTCGCCCAAATAGTCTTAAAAAAAACGCCCAAATAATGACTTTTTTCATTCAGGTTTTACAACCTTTGCATTAATATTGGGCAAACACTCTCGCGTCTTGCACGAGCAAACGCTAGTCCCAATATAAAAGCAAAAGATTTTGGGAAAACTGTCAAATACTCAAATAGGTCCTCGAGCTTTCATAACAAGGTCAAATAAGTCATTATATAAGAGGCTCTGTCTGGCCGTCGCGATTTGGTTCCTGGTGGAATTTTTTGATGAAAATTTTTGAGCATCTTATTCATCAAGTCTAGGTTACTCATACCAAATTTCTGCTAAAACTTCAATCGGGAACGCATTCAAATTAATTCTTGAAGGTAATTGCTCATTTAACTGCACAGTTATCTTCAAGATTTAATTTGAATGCGTTCCCGATTGAAGTTTTAGCTGAAATTTGTTATGAGTAAACTAGACTTGATCGATAAAATGTTAAAAAATATAATCAAAGAATTTCACCGGGAACCGTCCCAAATCGCGACGGCCGGATGGAGCCTCCTATATAAGGACTTATTTTATCTTTTTATGAAAGTTCGAGGACCTATTTGACAGTTTTCCCAAAGATTTTTGAGGATCAATGTGCCCCATCAAAAACGTCAACATCAAGATGTCGGCGTGTAGGTTTGAGAATAATGATTTTATTTTTACACGGCTAATGTTAATAGGCTCATGTTAATAGTGTTCTCACTAACTGTGGAGGTATTGGCCCGTTTAGGCCTTGGCAGCCCTTTCTCCTTGTTGGGCTTGTCCGTTTGTTCCTTAGCCCCAGCCCATCCCTTTACCCGGTTCTGGAACCCTCTTTTAGGGCTTCCCCTTGACTCTCGGTATTTAAACCCTCTCACCCGCTCAGTTGGGGTTTGAGGTCTTCGGTTAGAGAGAGAGTGAGGCATAGAGTGAGATAGGGAGAGAGACTATCAGTCTCATCTCCGGTCCCTTCGTGTTTTATCTCCGGTTGCTTCCTCCCTTTGACTTGGTGTGCATTGAGATGGCTGGGCTGGCCTGAGTGTGACTGACCCTTCCCGGTGGTGCTTTGGTGTGAGCTGTTTGAGCGTGGTCTGAGCTGGAGAGGTGAAAACCTGACAGTGGTATCAGAGCCGAAACTCCCGTCGTCCTCGTCAGCAGCCCGATAGCTCCTCCGCCGCCATCCACCGCAGATCTCCGTCGTTTGGTAAGTCGAGAAACCCTTTCTCGGGTTCTCGCTCAGGTAAATTGGCGATAAACACCCAAGTAGCCGGGTGCCTCCGGTATTGTGTGAAACACTGATTTTTTACTTGTTTCATTCCCCTTCCCCGCTGTGTTTGTTGCTGCTGACATGCTTGGTCCGGCTGTCGGCTATGTCTAACTACTCCCAGGTGCGTACTCACAATCTTTGTGTGTGCATCTGTGCTTGCATGTGTGATTTAGGTCATTGCATGAATAGATCTGTGGGTTGTTCTGGTTGTATGCATATTACGGGTTAGGGTTTGATCTTGTAATCTGGTGATTCTGTCCAATACCTGAGTGTTTTATTCGCTTGCGTCATGTTCTCTGCTCCTGTCTGGTATTCTTGTGATCTAGTCAGTAACCTGTGTGACTCGGCACCTGAGGTTAGGTCTGACAGGTTCCCTGCCAGCCACTCTAATGGCCTTCGGATCTGCATGGCCTGTCAGTCCGCAGCCGGGTACACTAGTGAACCCTAGTTCCTTGATTAATCTCTGTGTGTGTGTTGCTTCTTATGTCACTTTTCATTGCTGAATCTTGTTCTGTTTACTCCTCTGCGTGTTGCCATGTCTGCCAACATGTATGGAATGCTCCCTTTTAATGGAAAAACTGATTTTGACATTTGGAAACAAAAGATCAAATGTGTTTTAATCCAACAAAAGGTTTTTCAGAGCTATGAGTGAACTTTACTTGGATTCTGATGATTGTGCTAAGAGAGCTGAAATGAATGAAACTGCATGCTCTACTATTTACCTTAATCTGTCTGAATCTGTGCTTAGAAAGG